TTGCCAATAGTGATATCACTAGGGATGTCGCGAACCTGCCGAGCTTCGTGTTCATTTGGGTTCGACCTTTTCGATTTCCGAAAGTGAGGTTCGACAAAAGTTTGACTTCTACACGTATTAAAAAAAAAAAAATGTTTGTTTTTATATTACGTAAATATTGATTTTGATTTTTTATAATATAAAATAAAATAATATACACTTTATAATATTTGTTAAAATATTTGCGTAGAAGTCGGGCAACATCGTTCATAAGACGAACTTTCTCGAACTTTGCTAAAGGGTTTGAATTTTCGCCGAACCATTCGGATTCGACCCTCGGGTTCGGTGAAAGTTCGCGACTCGTCTCACTAAAACCGTGCATTACAGCCAAAGCTAAAGGGGTGTCCTGTTTGGACACCCCTTTAGACGGAGTACGGATAGGATGGTGTCTGAAAGTGGACGCCGAGGAGGCCTGCGGAGCATTCGCCGAAGACCGCAACCTGAGGAATTCGGGACATTTCTTCATTAAAGCTCGGACGTCACGACGATGTTGGCTCAGGAGGATGACCAGAGAAGCGGCGGCGGTGACGACGTCAGCGTTCGTTCAGTGCCGCGCTCTCGCAGCCTCCTTCGACGACTTTCACCACTTAGAAGAACAATGTCTGCCTGTGTGTCGGCTGGCAGCTCTGCGTTCGCGGGGTCGCTTCTATTTTCGGCCGATCTTGGCGTCTGGAGATTTCGTAGAAGTGGTATAGTCTGGTGCCGGGCCAAAAGCGTTCCGGGAGCTGGAGATTTGTATCGCCCGCTCGCCGTGCCTCGGGTGGATGGACCCTCGCGGGGGTCCGATTCGCCCATCTGGAATGCGAACCGCTTGGGGCATTTGTGTTCCGTGGGTTCCCGCGCTTTTATGAGAGGTATTCACTGGGAGCCATATTTGAGGGCGCTGTTTACAGCGCATGCTCAGAACGAACTCACAGGAATAGGCTGCTAAGACCGGCAATCTTGCTGGCGTAGAATGCACGTTGCAAAAGAACCGTGGAATCATTACATCAACACGGGATCAGTAGTCGCGCACACAGCTATGGCCGCCAGTTGAACGCTCCGAAGATCTTGCGCTTGAGTTCGAGCTCTTTACACTGCACGGCAATAGCTTTCGTAAACGGTATTCGCGACTCCAGCGACCTATAGGGGGCGCCCCCACCAAACAAACATGGCGGCTGAGTCCAGGTCGCGGCGGCTCGGCCGGGCCGCCTGAACAGGTGGCGCGTTCAATTTAACAGATTTTCTTTTGTTTAATGCGCAATTTTATAGGTATTTGAACTGAGACGGTTAAGTGTAGCCGATGCAGATAAACTTGCAAAGCATAGTTTTTTTTTGCCGGTGTTTTTTTGTTCTTTTCGTGTCAAACTTTCGTTTCGGAGATTTCGTACAAAACCGAAACTATGGGCTCCGGAGAGACGGTAATATACTAATCAGTTTTGATCATCTAAGGAAAGCGGCGATGACTATAGAATTGTTCCACAGAGAGTAACTTTTCAGCTAACTCGCATACCTCGACCATGCGACTTATCTGCCCGCGAAATCGAGCTTTTGTGCGTATCCGCGTTTACGAAACAGCTCCAGTCGTCTGCTCGGCCAACAACACAGGCTGCAGGAAAATTACGAAAATTATGCAACCGCTTCTTCAGCCAAGGACCACGCTAACCCGCCGGCGCCCCACTAAGCAGCTGATACTCGTATTTCAATTCAGGTTTTAGTAGCAATCGAGAAATCATTTTGACGAGCGGGTTATGTATTATATTACGTATTATGGGAGGGAGGGGGGGGGGGGGGTTCCACTAAAGCGATATTAATATATCCTTCGGGTTGAAATATGAGCTTAGTTGACTAGCTATTAGGTGAGCTGCTGAATAAAAGTATATTTGACAGACGGAGACACACTACTTAAATTTAGCCAAATGGTTCTATAGCCGGCAGCACGGGGACAAACTGGAGAGAGTCTTTATTGAAGATCCGCGCAGAACCTCTCTGCATTGAACGGAGAAAATTAGTATTTTTTTGTGGCCGGTCCACCTGACCAATGTAGACGTATATTGCTGCTGGCTTCGACGTCCTTGTAATATAAATATTGGAGGCGCGATAGGTCAAAATGCCGTGACAGCATCTAACGTTGCGAGACTTGTCTCCCACCTTTTGAAAACAGATAATTTCCCTCACTCATCATTTGCAATGAGCAAGTTTTCTTAAATCAAGTAATTGCGAAATAAGCCCAACTCCTTCAGTGTGGTCCAGAGGCTTTTTCGGCGAAAAGCAGCCAAGATGAATAGCCAACGCACCGACCAGCGTGGGTGGCTCAAACTTGAAGCTAACCGAACACAACCAAACTCAAGAAAAGCAGCTATCGAACCTTCCCATTCACTTGATTGCAACATTGATGTTCCCTCCAGTATCAGTTACCAAGCAGTCGCCACTTTGAATGTGATTCGAGACAGACAAGAGATCAAATTTCAGTGATTCCTCCCCATCCAAGAAATCGAAAGCACGCGACCGTGGGCTGTGGGGTAAACGGGCTTTGAAACACGTAATAGAAGAAAACAATCTACTCAGGCTTCACCACACTAATGATCACTCAGGCAAACTTAAGAAATATTCGGACGTTCGTCAAATTACATCGCTTGCCACCGCGCCGACAACACGTCTCCGCGAAAGCCACCAGAGACGCGGAGGGGCGCGGAGCGACCTGGACCGGCTGGTTCCCGGTTTTCCCGCTTGGCGGCGTCCATTTGCTGGAGTCGCGAATATGCGCTGTATCTGTTACTGAAATAACAACTAAATGGACGACATCGGTTCCCATTTAGTTCAACTGTCGCTTTACGGCCGCGTGTGGTTAATAATCATAATAATAATAATGATGATGATCTGCTTTGCGGAAGTACCAGTTATCCTGAGAGGCGTGAATGTCCAAATATAAATTTGAATTCAGTGTGACTATGAATAGCGACAAATTTAACCCTTAGTTGGTACTGGTAACGAGTTCCGTGATAAAAAAGGGTCGGCCTAATGTTGGGAAACATGTGAGAACATCGTGGCGTCTTTCCGCGCTGCTCGATCGCATGTGTTTACGACGCGCCAAGCCGAGTGAGCGTCCTCTCTGACAGACATCTTACGGGGGGGTCGCGGGGCTTCTGCGAGAAAGGCGTTCCGCGTGGCTGCCTGCCGCTTCTTCTTCGATCGCCCGTCTGCGCCTCGGGGAGACGACTCGCTTTTATTTATAGCTCATCTGGATGGCGGGAGAGTGCAGTTAGTGGGTCGAGGCTAGACTCCGCCTCACCGTAACTTGGCGAAAGCTACGGTCCCGGTTAGCCAATGACAGCGCGTCGGAGGGACGCACGTGACTATACTCTAGTTGCGCGCAGTGCCGTCAAAAGCCGCGTGCGGCAGGGAGACGAAGGCCTCGATCAGGTGGTGGAAGATAGGGCTGGTCCAAGGAGCATCTTCCGCCGTACTGTCAGCTTAGTGTTGAACAGAGCGCACGCCTCTCCGGGCTCTGTCCTCCTCCCCTCATTTTTGGGTGCCGACTTGTTTTGCCTGGCGCGCCGCGTTTGAGTTCCAAGCCCAGTTCGAAACTTGGGGCAGGTTGGAAGGCTCTCCTCCCAGCGGCGGTCGTCCTAAATAACATCCGTGGCGGCTCCTGGCTTTCGTGAGCGAAAACCGCGCCGACCCACTGTCGAGTTTGACGGGCGCACGCGTGCGCTTCGTGTTTTTAGGGACTTGGCCCCGCGGAGTAAACAAGGTTGTTTTTCTGCGTCTGCAGAACGGATCGCGAGAGCTTCCGTGTTGAGTTTGAGAGACTCTCCCGAAGAAATAGACGTTTGGCAAAAATCGGTCAGTTCGTGTAGCGCAGTGTACTTTCCGCGTGTTCGGAAAAGGGCGGGGAGAGTGTCCTATATATTTTTTTTTTCTTTGATACCACCTGGTTTTGTCAGGGTTGGTGGTATATCTTATTTAGTCACACGTTTGCCGCACAAAAAAGGAGCGACGAAAACTTGGACAGCTCGTCGACTCTCCTCCCTGGGATACTTTATAGTGCACAGGTGTGCACGTTCGTAACGCACGCGGGTGTCACGAATGACGCGTGTATCCGCGCTACTGGGCTTGCACCCCAGCTTCCAGATGCTTCTCTGCGCGCTGATGATACTGATACACTCGGCGTAGCTGCGTGCCGCCGTTGCGCGCAAGGCCGTTGTCGAACAAGTCGATCGCGTGCAGCGGGCGACCTCTGATCTGCGCGGGGTTAACGAATGCACGGCTCCGTCCTCAACGAACTTTTCCACGCCGAGGTTTCGGAAAGTGATTCCCGGCTGCACGGAAAGTTCCCGCGCGCAGGCGCAGTAGCGCCTATCTGTTTGCCTGCACTGGATCGTCACTGACAACGCGGTATACGGAGAGAGAAAGAAGCAAAATGAGATGCGGTGGGAAACAATCGAAGAGGGCAGTGAAGCGGAACCGAACAGTTAGGATTACACTTCCTGCGTACAGCTTCTCTTATTTGTCCGTCGTGCATGCGGTGTCCGCACGGTGCTGTGTCCCCGAGCCCGATAGGCTCCACTTAGTGGCCATGGACGGTGGTGAGTATGATTATACGCGAGAAGCGATCGGATTGTGAACTGGGTGTCGCGTGTCCGCTTTCCTCTCGTCGGGCAACCGCGCGTACGCCTGTCATTTCCTTCGCTTTGAGGCTTCGTGACGCATATGACGCGCGGAAGAGTGTCGCGATTCGTCAGTCTTGATCTGTGTCGGGTGTCATTGAGCATGAGTCGAACCGCGGTAGCCTCGCCGAGCGATATATGGGATCTTGTCTTTTAGTGTAAACCGCGAAGCTAATTCCAACCGACTGCCGCCAGTGTGAGCTAGATTCTTGGAAACTCGAGCCGAGTCTCGCGGATCAAACGAGAGATGAGCATCGGGTGTAAACTTGGGACGTGGAAAATGAAACGTTTCTTTTTTTCTTCTCCTTCCAGGTCTGCTGTTTCTGCGACTGTGGTAAGCCATCCCGTTTTTCTTTCTTAAGGCCCGTTCACACTCTTGCGACTGTTTGCGACCTCTTAAACCTGGGTTCCTTAAAACTTCTTAAACCAGAGAACACACTGGCGCCATCTATTGGGAAGCAGTGTAAACTCGGCGGTCCGGCATATTTTTTTTTTATTTCTCGCGCAATATCCTTTCTTTTTTGGCTCGAAAAACTTTTGTCAATGTTATAAACGAGCCTTTCTATGGGTATTACGCACATTTGACCTCGGAAATCCCGCAAAACCTTCGCTTTTGTGAAATGCAGTTCTAGGGTCACCGCATTGATGGCGCCACAATGTCAGTGTGTTCCCTCATTCTAGAAACATTTAAGAAGTTGTAAGAGATCTCGTCTCTCTCAGTCGTACTCGGTCGCAAAAGTGTGAACGGGCCTTTACTCTGTCCAAACGCCACGGGTCATCCTGCTGGCTGCTTGTTAGCTCGCGGGTGTCACGTCAGCATTTGCTCGGTAGTCAAACCGAGGCTACGTGCCTACTCGTTGACATCATCATAGCACAGTCAACTAATAAAGGAGAAAAAATTCAACCTTTTCTTTTTTTTTTTCTTTTTTATCGAAACGTTTAGCTGGTCGAGTTGGTTATACATAATAATTGCGGAAGCGCCAAGGACAAGGGAGAAACGTATGTGCTTGTTCTGTACGTCTTGTCCTTGTTCTTGGCGTTTCAATGCTTATTAATTCGTGTTTTTTTTTTTTTTTTAACATCTTTGCTTAGGAGACACAGGGTTGAGCCGCGCGCTATCGGGCGTTTGTAACGGGGTAGCTGGAAACGAAATATTGTATTTGATGCAAAACACTGGATGATGGCACCTCGGCGTAACATTTTGCACGAAATAAACACCCAAGGAGTACAAATTTCTGACTGAACAGTATCAGGAGGCAAGCGCTGAAGAAAACCTTTAATGCCGTCATTAAGAGGTGTTAATCCTAAGGATCAGTAGGCTAGTTAAGTAAAATTTGCTAGTTAGTGAAAATAAACATATGGTTGCAGTTACAAACTTGCTGAGCGTCATCCATAATTACGTAAGGATCAAGTTAAAGTGAAAACAAGTGTAAGAGAAAACCAAAATCTCCTTTTTTTTTTTAAACGTTTGAAGTCACAAAAACAAATTTTAAACTTGATCATTGAGAAAATTCGAGACAGGGGAACGGATGTATTGGACAAAACACACATATATTCTTCGTTTGTATATTTCGTCCAACTTCTTTTTTTCTCGAGTATCCTGTCTTTGCTACGGGTTCCGTCAAAAAACAACAACAACAACAAAAACTTTTTGTTATTTCGCCAAGCAGCGCGAGGTTTCTTCGCTGAGTATTTCTCGGGTAAACAGGAAACGGTTACTTAGGGAATTCTTTTGCCGCGACTCACGAGAAGTGTAGCTGTTTATATAGCACCGGCAGAATTTCCTCCCACGCTGGAACGCGTCTATCTTTGGACGGACAGGTTCTCGACCGCGTGGCTACACACGGTTCAAGTCTGCCCCCAAGAAAAAGGCCCGCGCCCCGCCTCCTCCCCCCACAAACGTCATCGCTAGTAGCAAGGCCTAGCCAGTGCGTTTTTCAGCGTCTCACTAGGAGCGCGACGTTAGCGCATGGCGACAGCAAGTCTGCCGCGTCTGCTGCCTCGCGACGGCCCTCGTGGAGCTTCAGCGTGTTCCGGGCGGGTCGGGAATTCACGAACGATGACGTCGTGCGGAGGCCTTGTCTTTTCTAGGCGGCGTTGGCTCTGCCGGGGAAGAACCGTTTGCGTTGGAGCCGCGGGGCTCGGCGGCAGCGAGTACGTGCCGCCCACCACGAGTATGTTTATGGCAGAGGTTGCCTGATGCGCCGCCAAGGTTAGACGCGTCCTCTTGGTGTACCTGCGGGCTTATTTTTAAATGCACCCGCGGACGCCGCGCCATCCACGTGCCACGCGTGCACTCTTTTTTTTTTTTTTTGTCCAGGATTAATATAATTTACCCCCCCCCCCCCCTTTTTTTTTTCTTGTGTTTCTGAAGTTGGGAGCTTCTCTGCGGACTGCAGTTCTAGTGGTGTTATGGTGAATTCCACTCGTAGATCTGGAGCGCTTTCCAAAATCCGCGAGGGAGGAAAAATTCCGCTCCGTGGGACCCGCTCCGAATCGACGAGGGGAAGATAAACTTGCATTTTTGGAGCGACCTCCCCCACACCCCTTCCCACCCCTTTACCCTCCGCCGTACAAGATGGCCGCTGCTCGAACTTGAACAGTCCCACCAACGCCTCAGCCGGCTAATCTTTCCGACGACCGGAGTAACACGCGACACACACCGGGCGAAATTATACGTACCGCGGCGCCCATGTCACAAATAACGAAGACGTCCGCGTTCGGCACCGTCACATACTCTTCGGCCGCCTCGAAGCGGCGTGGCACGGACAGCGATTGCCAGCGGTGGAGTTCAGATTTGTAGTACGACTTTAATAAACACAGAGGTAACAAACCATCACTTGCGCGGTCGTTGCCTAACCACTTCTTGCTTTATTTCACGGGAAAACGCCGACGGAATGCAGTGCAAAAAGATAAACAATCACTGGCTGCAGAATGAATAGGCCTAACCTTGCGTCTGCCTCCGGCTTTTCTGTCGTTCCTTTTCTCGTTCTTCCTCTCGCGATCACAGAGTCAGCGCTTACGATTTGCCACCCTCCACATTCCCGGCTTTTTATCCCTGATCTACGCGAAGTAGAAGCGTTCGAGCCGTCACAATCCAGAGTAAACAACCGACGCACCCGAACAGATCCAACTCCACGACCCGACCGGCCCGCCGATCTCTCCAACCTCGCCGCGCATGCGCACCGCCGATTTAGACGGAAATCACGTGAGCCGCTCTGTCAACTTCCGGAGAGATCTGTGAAACCCCGCAGAGCAAGTTCGGCGGAGTTTGGGGCGCTCCGTGGAGCGGGCGCTGCCAGAGATCTACGAGTGGAAGATGACCAACTTGAGCCAGATCTGCGAGCGGAATATGCGCGCTCCAAATGGAGCGCTTTTGGAGCGCTCGAGATCTGCGAGCGGAATTAACCATACAACACCGTGGCTTTTCAAGAACTTGAGACACAGTGCATCTTCGAAATTATTTTGGGTAACTTGCCTTTGGAGTTTCGGTCGCCAGCATTTGTGAACTTTTGATGTGGTCTCGAGTACGTGTATGTCTACACTTTTTCTCACGGTTTTGGGTGACGAACCGAAAGGCGGACCAATGCCTCAAAGAACCGCCACCCCCCCCCCCCCCCCCCCACACACACACACACGCACGCACGCACGCACGCACGCACGCACGCACGCACGCACGCACGCACGCACGCACGCACACGCACGCACGCACGCACGCGCGCACACACACACACACACACACACACACAAACACACACACACACACACACACACACACACACACACACACACACACACACACACACACACACACACACACACACACACACACACACACACACACACACACACACACACAAATACGCTCGGAGCCAAGGAATCATACATTCTAATTGATGAAAATGTACCATTTTCTGCAGCGCGTGTTTTTGTTCCCGACTTTGTACAGCCCAGCGTATTCAATTCGTATTGGAACAGAAAACCGACTGAAACGACGAAAGATCGAAAACCGGCCAAGCATCATTAGCCGACTGTGCTGACAGCGTGTGCTGGGAGACACTTGCGTCTATTCGGAACACATTGGACAGCTGTTGCAACAGGCTCTCGTATCACGAACGGGTCACATTTGACGGAAGCTTCATGACGTATATGGGCCTTGCCGAGCACGTCTCTGACTGCACGCCCTTGAGCTGTCAGACAAAGCAGAGACTACGATGGTGCAAAGGACGGCGATAGGTCAGGACAACGGTGATTAAACGAGTGGGACGCGAGTAAAGGGGGAGTGAGATAGAAAAGGGCCGGGGGGGGGGGGGGGGGGGGGGGGGAGGCGCAAACACTACTTTGCTCACCCCTAAGCTGACAGTGCCGTGGCAGCTTCGCGCTCGCCGGGACCGGTCAACCGTCTGCCTTTTCATCACCTGACCCACTCTCTCCACGCAGGTATGTGCGTGGAAGCGTGAACACGTGGCAAGGGACCAACGTAACGACTGGTCATAGCTTAGGGTGAACGGAGTATACAAATAATTGAAATAAACACGCAGCAGGCACCAGAGCGTTCGGTAGAAAGAGCGAAGAAGCGAAACCGACGTCAGTGGACTAGATTTATCGGTTTGGATCGTGAGCTGGTTACGGACGGCTTGGGGGAAAGTGAGTTGACTCGAGGCAGGGAGGGTTATCCCACGCTGTACCGGCGGCGTTATCGGGGGGTCGCACGAGGGTGTAACCGAGCGGCTCTCCCACCGCGGCTAATAACAGTTTAAAACTTCCCCGTTGTGGAGCGTGTTTCCCCCGTCGATTGCGGCGTTCTAATCCGCCCGGCCTTTCCTCGTGGTCGATGTTCATTAGTTTTCTCGTTGGCGTCTGTCGGAGCCTCGTCCTCCTTCCTTGGCTCGCCCGTCGTGCGTCAGAGAGAGCGGACCGGTCTCCCGCACCTGCAGGGTCGGCCGAGTCGCACTCTCGACGCTCTTCTGATCCAAGGTCTAGGCCAAGGTCGCGCTTGCACGATTTTCGAAGCAGCGCACCGCTTCGTTTTGTACCTTAGCACATTACGGCTTGTAGCCGGCGTTGGATAAGGTTTTACATCGCATCGCCTGAAACAAAAGCACTATTCATGTTTTTATTTCTTTCCAAAAAACAAAAACAAAAAAGTGAAAGTTACATTTGTGCAGTTTGTTCAGGTGCGTTATAGGGCCAGGGGGACATAGTATAGGAGGGGACTAGTCGTAACGATCAGTCGACTAATTGAGTAAAATTTATTAATCAACTTTTTAACTAGTGAAAGTAGACATGCGGTTGCAATTAGAAACCTGCTGAGCGTCATCAAAAACTACTATA